CTCATTGAGGGTCTTCCCCTTTTTTGCTGACCCTCCACTTACCAAGCATGATACCCTTCTCCAGGGAATGGTCCCATCTGACAACATGACCAAACTAGATAAGACAAAGTCTGGCCATTCTCGCTTCCAAGGAACATTCTGACTGCATTTCTTCCAGGACAGATTTGTTCATTCTTTTGGCAGTTCATGGTACTTTCAGTATCCTTCACCAACACTACAACTCAAAGGCATCAACTCTTCTTTGGTCTTCCTTGTTCATTGTCCAGCTCTCACGTGCATATGAGGCCATTGAAAATACCATGGCTTGGGTTGTTGTTATATGCTGTCGAGTCGGCCCCGACTCATAACAATCCTTCCTTGGGTTTCCGAGGCAGTATCACTACGGAAGTAGATTGCCCAACCTTCCTTCCGAGGAGTGGCTAGTGGGTTTGAACCGCCAGCCTTCTGGTTAGCAGTCAAGTGCCTTAGGCACTATGCTACCAGAGCTCCTTGGCTTGGATTAAATGCACCTTAGTCTTCAAGGAGACATCTTTGCTCTTCAGCACTTTAAAGAGGTCTTTTGCAGTAGATTTCCCCGGTGCAATACATCATCTGATGTCTTGACTGCTGCTTCCATTGGTGTTGATGGTGGTACCAAGTAATATGAAGTCTCTAACAACTTCAATCTTCTCTCCATTTATTGTGATGCTGCTTATTGGTCCGGTTGTGAGGATTTTCATTTTCTTTATGTTGAGCTGTAATTCATACTGCAGACTGTAGTCTTTAATCTTCATCAGCAAGTGTTTCAAGTCATCCTCACTTTCAGCAAGCAAAGTTGTGTCATCTGTGTATATCACAGGTTGTTAATGAGCCTTCCTCCAATCCTGATGACATGTTCTTCATATAGTCCAGCTTCTCAGATTATTTGTTCATCATATAGATCAAATAAGTATGGTGAAAGGATACAACCCTGATACACACTCTTCCTGATTTTAAACCCACAGTATCCCCTTGTGTTCAAACAACAGCCTCCTGGTACAGGTTCCTGATGAGCACAATTGTAGTGGTTACATTGTATGTCAACCAGCTGGGCCTGGTTGAGTGGCTGGGCAGCTAGATGTAGTATTCCCCACGATGAGACTGGTAGTCAACTCCATGGTGGAATCTACTGGGAGCAGCTGAGTAGCTGCCTTTGGGTATGTGGTCTGCTTCCTGTATATAAACAGCAGCTTTGGGAATGGTCTCTAGCTTGTAGCACACTTGGACCCTGCATGTAGCTGTGTTGTTGTTCAGCAGCCTGCCATGCTCTGCTGAGCTGGGGACTTACAATGGACTTAAATTAATGGCCTGCCATGTGGTTTGGTAACATCGGGACTGTGCCCTTTTTACTTGTCAACCTTGGGGCTTCTCAGCCTCAGCAGCCAGCAGCTGAGTGAAGAGATGCCTCTAGCTCCAGTGGGCCGGGAGCAGGAGGCAGAGCTGGACCCAAAGGTTAAGGGACTTTCACCCAGCCCCTAGAGCCTGGCCTTTTGAACTTGGATTAAAGCCTCCAAACTGTGAGAATAAACTCCTGTTTGTTAAGGCCATCCCATTTGTGGTATATTCTTGTCAGAGCAGCACTAGGTAACCAGAACAACAATCAAGTGTTCTGGAATTCCCATTCTTCTCAATGTTATCCATAATTTGTTATGATCCACACAATTGAATGCTTTTGTATACTCAATAAAACACAAACAAACATCTTTCTGGTATTGTGATATTCTTGGCTTTCAGCCAAAATCCATCTGACATCAGCACTGATATCCCTCATTCTGCATCCTCTTCTTGTCTTGATGCAATGGTACAGCCACTTTAGACGACAGTCTGGCAGTTTCTTACAAAGATTAGTATAGGTTCAATATTCAGTCCAATAATCATACTCCTAGGTGTATATAACAAGGGATCTCTGGTGGTGTAGTACCTAAGGCACTTGACTGCTAACCAGAAGGCTGACGGTTCAAACCCTCAGCCACTCCTCAGGAGGAAGGTTGGGCAATCTACTTCCATAGTGATACCACCTCGGAAACCCAAGGAGGGGTCACTATGAGTCAGGACTGACTCGTCATCAATGTGTTTGTTTTTTTGGGTTTTTTTTTTTTTTCTGGTATATACCCAAGTGAGAAGAAAACATATATCCATGTAAAAACTTCCACATGAATGTTTACAGCTGCTTTATTCATAATTGCCAAAAATTGGAAACAAACAAGATATCCTTCAATAAGTGAATGAATTAATATAAACAGTGGTCCATCTGTAAATGAAATGTTATTCAGCAATAAAAGAAATAAGTTATCAGGCCATGAGAAGACATGGAGGGACCTTAAATGCATATTGCTAAGTGAAAGAAGCCACCCTGAACAAAGAAGACTCACGGAAACAATTAGTCCACGGGACAGGTGGACCATGCGAACCTCAACCTACGTGACCCTGAGACCAGAAGAACTAGATGGTACCACTGTCAGCCACTCAGAGGGGGATCAGTGCAGGAGATCCTGGATAGAGTAGGAGAAAAATGTGGAACAAAACTCAAAACCATGCAAAAGACCAGGCTTACTGGTCTGATATAGACTAGTGAAACCCACAAGACTATGGCCCCTAGTCACCCCTCAGGCCTGGAATTGAACTCACTCCTGTGGCTTCCAGCCAAACAATAGACAAGCATAGAAGGTGACCATTTACACCAGATGGGTACACTCCTTAGAACAATCAGCCATGGGAGATAGAAGGGCAGTATTTGCACAGAGAGATAGCTCAGAAGGCAAGAATACTTAGGAAAGAAGGACACAGGGAAAAGGTAACCACAGGGAGCAAATGGGAAGAGAGTTATTATATTATGGGGATTGCAATCAATGTCATGAAACAAAATGTGTATGAACTGCTGTATAGAAAATGAATTTGCTCTGTAAACTTTCACCCAAATCCCAATTTTAAAAAAAAAGAAGCAAGCTGGTCTGAAACAAGCCACATACTGTATGACCCCCACTATATGACATTCTGGAAAAGGCAGAACAATTGAGATACTGAAAAGATGAGTGGTTGGGAGTGGGAGCTGCAAATAGGTGGAGCAGCGGGGAGGGGCATGGATGGGAACTCTCTATACTTTCTGCGTAATTTTTCTATAAACCCAAAACTGCTCTGAAAAATAAAGTCAATTTTAAAAAAAGGCTTGATGGGACAATTTGCTTTAAAAAGTCTATTGAATTAGGTGTAGGCAGGACAACTTTATAAAAGACAGGAGGGAGAAATGGAAAAATAGAGAAGGATTCTGTACTCGTTTTGCAAGTGCCTTTAAGTTCTTGCTCCCATTTAAAGAGATTGAACCTGAGAATCATGGACAATGCAATATAAACCGAAAACCAAAACCTCTGTTGGCAATTCAGACCCCGATTCATAGCAGCCCTAGATGGATGCAGTTTATACATGAAATACTGTGTGGGCCTGAGCTCAAAGAATCGTCCAAGCCCTCTATCAAAAGATTGGCAAGTGGATATACATTTATATGTTTAAAATAAAATTAGAATGTTTAAAGTATGTGTATATCCTGTATTATGACTCCCACTGTTGATTCCCCAGCCAGCTCTGCTCCCACTTAAGCCAGAAAAGAAGGGTTTCCACCAAAGGAAATGTTCACTGCATGCTAGCTCCCCCCACTTCCCACCACACCCCCCTCACAGGAACTCACCCTCCAGCCAAGGGAGACCCCTGCACCCCTCCCTGCTGATGCTAATGAGGACCCGTGCCCCAGAGAAGTCTAGGCATCTTATCTTCACCATGGCCTCTGAGCCTGGCATCACCATCTGGCTTTCATAAGCTCTTTACCCCCGTCACGATAACCCGTGACAGGTAGAGCGTGTGTCAGCAACCTCACCCGACCTGAGGTCACTCCAGCTCAGCCGAGAAGTGAGCTGCTCAGCCAAGGTGAAGCGGAGTTTGTCCCAGAGGGGCCACCCCCAGGCCTACCTCCCGCCTCCCCATTGGGACACATCTGTACCTATTAATGCAAAAGGGAGTGGGGAGGAGCCAGCAGTATCTTAACACCATCCTGGGCTCTAAGAGAAACCAGGGAAAAGGAAGAAGGCCTCCTGGCTCTCACTCAGTTTAGCTCAGATACCCACCCCCTGTGGTCAGCTCCGCGAACCTTCATTGAATAGCCTGGTGAGCAAAATCTCCTGTCTGGCCTTGCGTGGCCACCAGGAGCATCATATTATAACAAACATCAGCTCAGTGAGCCTGGGTCAAGGGTGTTGCTGGGGGTGGCTGCGGTGATCTCCTGCTGGGCCAAAGAGGGCACCTGTGCAAGGAGGCTGGCCCTCAGGCCCAGTGTGACCCATCCTAGCAGGGAGGGCTCACCCCTGGGCCAGCCTCTCCATTCACCATCCCTTCCCTGTGGCAGAATCAGAACTCCATTGGATGGTGGAAGCTGATTTTCACCTTCGGTGCAGGCGCAAATGTGCTGAGGCTCCCATTTGCCGAGGCTCAAAGGCAACAAGCAGTGCGGTGCGGAAAGAATTCTAATCATAGCTCAGCCCACAAGAGCACCCGTGCATTCAGCATTTCACAGGTACTCTGACTAATTGGCTCTGTAGCTACCCCGTGAGGGAGGAATTAGCACTGTCCTCATTTTACAGATGAGAAAACTGAGGCACTTGCCAAAGGCAGTAAGTAGAGGAGGTGAGATTCCAGCCCCACCAGTCTGGCTCCAAAGCCTGGGCTTGTAACCACTCTGGATTCTGCTGGACGAACTGGAAGCCAGCAGCAGGTTCTCATTCCAGCTCATCTGGTGGCTCACAGTGGGGTCTTGGGCAAGCACCTTCCCATCCAGAGTCATTGTTTCCTATCCCCAAAACAAAAGGGCCAACTAAGGTTCCCTGTCCCTTTGTCATGGCAGGAAAGAGGCCTGCCCTGGGCCCCGCTGTCCAAGATGCCTGCTGGCAGCAACCAGGGAGGCTGACCTCCTGTATTGGCGTCTGTATCTTTTCCAGTGATTTCCAGCGACACGGACAGCGATTCAGATCTCAGCTCCTCCAGCCTGGATGACAGACTCCCATCCACTGGGGTTAGGGACCCAAAAGGCGACAAACCCTGGGGAGAGTCAGGTAAGCATGCGACAGCCATAATACAGCTTGTTTCAGAAGGCCCAGGTGCAGAGTGGCTTTGCTGCTCGTGGGTGCCACTCCCCAGTGGGTGGGTGCCTGCAGAGGGAGTCGTTCTAGATCAAGAAGCGGGCCTGAGAGTGGGACATCTCGGAGCTAGAGTATTAGCACCACTGGAGAGCAGGGTGGAAAGCAAGGTTCATCTGTAGGTGAAGGGGGTGGGAAGGAGGACGGGAAAGGCTAAGAGACAGAGCCGGCCAGACCTGCCCAGGTGCCTCCCGCTGCAGACCTGGGATTCCGCCCCAGATTCACCTGTGAGATTCTGTCTCGTGAATGTTGAGTTACCTGGATTGGCTCAGCTCTGCCACAGAGCTACAGTGGACGCCAGATGTATGCCATGACCTCCCAGGTCTCCAATTCCTTCTCCAGCACAAGAGACCTGGAGCAGGTAGTCTCTGAAGTTCCTTCTGAATTTAACGTCTCTGAGCTCACCTCTGTGACTCTGTCATATGAAGGAGGCTGGAGCAGAGAATGCCTGGGGCGGGGGCACCTTTGCCTTTCCTTTAAGCACGTGCATACTCAACTGTCGGGAGAGACCCTGACCCTGGGGGTGCTTCTCCCAGGGCGAGGCTCATCCACTGCACGGTGATGTGCTCACTCCTGCAATTTCCCCACAGGTGGGAAGCTCCACTGCAAAATTTGTGATTAGTTCTGTGTTTAAAGACTAACCACAACTGCACTGTCACGTATCATCTAAAACAACCAAAACCAAACGCACTGCCGTGGAGTCAGATCCGACTCGCAAGGACCCCTCCTTGAGTTTCCGAGGCAGTATCACTACGGAAGTAGATTGCCCAGCCTTCCTTCTGAGGAGTGGCTGGTGGGTTTGAACCGCCAGCCTTCTGGTTAGCAGTCAAATGCCTTAGGCTCTATACCACCAGAGCTCCCATGTGTCATCTGTTGCTCCTTTATTTGCCTCTTGAAGGACTTCTAAGGAGCCTGGTGGTACTTGGCTGCTAAAAGGTTGGTGGTTAGAACCTACCAGCTGCTCCGTGGGAGAAAGATGTGGCAATCTGCTTCTAAAGAGATTATACCCTTAGAAACCTTATAGGGCAGTTCTACTCTGTCCTGTAGGGTTACTATGAGTCAAAATTAACTCGACAGCAGTGAGTTAGACACACAAAGGGCCTTCCCAGGAAAAAAGATTAGCTTTATTTAAAGTTGCTCCAGAGGTTAGAATTGAGATCTTTGAAAGAAGTTACAAAGAGGCTGATTTTAGTGCATGAGAAGAAAGAGCTTTATAATAACTGTAAATGTCCTAAATTGGAATGAAATGCCTTGGGGGGGGGTGCTTTCCTGAGGGTGAAGCTGGGTGACCCCCTGTCAGAAATTCCTGATGGGGATGGGAGTTTGAGCTAGTTCAAAGATGGCAAATGCCTAGCACATTGCTACCACCCCCCACTCTTGTGCCCACGGCAGACATTACTAGTTGATTATGATACTCTTTCATAGCTTTCATCATAGTTTCTGTTCCCTACACCAACTCTCAGCAATGACAAAGTGGGCCTAGGATATAGGAAAAACTGGGTGCAGTATCACAAGCCCATCTCTGCCCTCTCAGCTAGTCAAAGACTAACAGCCCTGTTTGACTAAACAGCAATTAATACCTCTCTCACTGGGTTAGCTGAAATACATACTCTTCATACACATTCATTCTATGAAGGTGAAAAAGAACGAATAATGCCCAGTTGTCATGCTGGTGACTCTCCTTGGTAGTGAAGGCCCCCATTCCATTGCCTTTATGTATCTTGGACCAATCAGCAGTGATCAGAAGGGTGGGGTCAGGTTAGAACATGAGAGCCATGTGGATGGGGGTGTGGAGTGGCAGTCCCCAGGGTAGATGAGCTCCTTGCTGGGCTAAGCCAATCCCTGTCTCTGCCTGAGATCTAAAGGCCCAGCACTGAGCCATTCAGGCCCACATGTGGTCTCTTGCAGGTGGCAGCACAGAGTCCCCCAGGATGGGGCCAGCCCGCTCACCCAGCCATCTCTCAGGGAGCCAGAGCAGCCTGGCCAGCGAGACTGGGGTGGCCTCTGTAGACCCACAGGGGAGTACCCCACCCAGGCCTGACCCAAAGGGCATAGGTAAGTACCAAGCGGCTCCTTGCAACCCCACTTCCTCTCCTTCTTCTGCTGCCCCTCCCCCATATCTCTCCTCTCTCAGTCAATCCTCCCTAACTGGGGAGTGGCAGGTGACATTTTCAATTCCCCATGTTTACTGAGTGCTCTGCCAGGTGCTGGGGCAACAGCCTGCCTGCCTTGGATGAGCGATGTTGTTGTTAGGTGCTGTTGAGTCGACCCTGTGTACAACAGAACAAAACACTGCCCGGTCCCATGCCAGCCTCACAGTCCTTGCTATGCCTGAGCCCATCGTTGCAGCCACTGTGTCCATCCATCCCTTTTTCACTGACCCTCCCCTTTACCAAGCATGACATCCTTCTCCAGGGAATGGTCCCTTCTGACAACATGACCAAAGTAGTTGAGATGAAGTCTGATCATTCTTGCTTCCAAGGAGCATTCCGGCTGCACTTCTTCCAGGACAGATTTTTTAGTTCTGACAGGTCATGTTACTTTCAGCGTTCTTCACCAACACCATAACTCAAAAGTATCCAATCTTCTTTGGTCTTTCTTATTCATTGTCTAGCTTTCATATACATGTGAGGTGATTGAAAATACCATGGCTTAGGTTAGGCGCACCTTAGTCTTCAAAGGGGAGCTTTGGTGGCCTAGTGCCTAAGGCATTTGATTGCTAACCAGAAGGCTAGCAGTTCAAACCCACCAGCCACTCTTCGGGAGGAAAGTTAGGCAATCTATTTACCTAGTGATACTCCCTTGGAAACCCAAGGAGGGGTCGCTATGAGTCGGATCTGACTCGACAGCAGTGAGAGACATCTTTGCTCTTCAGCATTTTTAAGAAGTTCTTTGTAGACATAGGATAAGCCATAAGGACCCAAAATGACCCTAATGGTAACATCTCCATCCGTTCTCCGTAATTATAACAACAGTTATTACCATCCTGGGCTGTCTAAAACATACCATCTTTCAAAGTATTTCCCCATCCTCAAGATGATCATAGTAACTCTGGTTTCAAGAGTGACGACTAAGTGCCAGGCAATCAAATCCTCACAAGCCCTGTGACATGCCCAGCCTGTGCTGGATGTGGAGAGGATCACTGTCCTTGTCCCCAAGAAACCTACCATGTGAAAACCTATCATGAGAAAGCTGAAGCAACCCACTAGAACCTAAACCTGACTCCAATCCAGAGACAGAACCCGGGACGCTAGAGCTGGCATCAATCCCCAGTCTACCCTGGGCCTCGAGGATCAACTCTCATTCTTTTGGCAGAGCAGACAAAGATTATTATCCCCATTTGATTGATGTGGAGACTGAGGCATAGAAGAAGTAAGCCAAGAATCCAAGGCTCCCACCCAGCTCTGACCAGCCCATAGTCATCATGTAGTGGGGGCTTCTCACACTCAAGCCTGAGAAAATTGTGTAAGTACAGTTTTGGCCCCTAGTATTCTACAAGAAGGAAAACCCCAGCTGGACTGGCATCCTTCCACCCAGAGGGTCAGCCAGTGTCTACACGGAACAGCGTGGCAGCTGATGCTGGGCTGTGGGGCGAGAATCGTGCCTTCCAGGTGCAGGGGTGCATCTCTGCAGGCAGCTACTCTCTGCCCAGCTGCACCCAGGAACCCAAGGAGAAAACACACACTCACCTGCACTCTACTGTTCCTAAGAACACACTACAGTTTGGCCACAGGACATCCTGGGAGAGGGAGGCATCATCCCTGGGTTTGGTGTGGACTCTCTCCCCCTCCCATCCACCTCCTGTGGTTCTGCAGTTCTTATCCCATCCCTATCACCATAGCCATGTGACCCTTGGGCAAATAAGTTGATCCATATGAATCTGCATTTTTTTTTTTTTTGCAGGTTTTTATTTTTTCTTTCAGTCAGTTTTTGTTGTTTTTTTTTTAATTGTGCTCTAGGTGCAAGTCTACAGAGCAGAGCTCGTTCCACATTTAACATTATGTGCACATCTAGTTTCACCCCCCATTCACCATCCCCAACCCAGTCTCCTCCCCTCCCTGCCCCACAATCGCCACCCCCCAGGTCCCTCATAGTCACGCACTCCTGTGTGTCCTGCATTTCCTCCATGCGAACACTGCCCGTCTGGTGCCCTGTGGTCGATTGCTCCAAGGGATGCATTTCCATAGAGTATGTGGGTGCCTCACCCTGGGTTAAGTGGTCTGCATGTACATCCAGTCCACAACTGGGCTGAGAGCCAGCCCCTGGGAGTGAGCCCTACTCCAGGCCCAAATGTACCCCAGAGCCATAGTATTGAGGGGTCTCATCAGACTCCATCCAACCAGTAATTCTGGCCATTATTGAATTTTTGGATTTTCTTCCATGTTTTTACTCCCACTCTATCCAGGATTTCCAGATTTGATCCTTTCCTGAGTGGTTGGCATTGGTAGCCGGGCACCATCTAGTTCTTCTGGTTTCAAGGGGCATTGTGTCCTAGGGCTGATTGCTTCCAAATGCCCTTGTTTTTTGCACTCTTCTTCACTTCCAACGATAGGAGACCATCTTCTACATCTTAGATGGCCACTTGAAAGCTTTTAAGACCCTAGTCACTACTCACCAATGTAGGATGAGGAACAAGACTTTTACGTATTTTGTTGTGCCAGTTGAGTCTGGTGTCCCCCAGTACTGTGGTCCTAAGTCAGTAGATCCACTGGATCTCTTCCCACAGTGTCTGGCTGTCTGTGAGAGATTACTCTATATCTGTCCTCTGTTGCCTGTGCAAGTTGCATTTCTGTAGGTCAAAAAATGGCCAGTATTTGCTGGTATACCATGTGATCCTCAGCCTATATGACTATGAGACCAGAAGAACTAGATGGTGCCTGGCTACCACTGTCAACCACTAGGAGGGGGATCTATGTAGGATATTCTGGATATAGTGGGAGAACAATGTGGAACAAAACTCAAAATCATTTGGAAAAAAAAAAAGGACCAGGTTTCCTGGTCTGATAGAGCCTGATGGAACCACTGAGACTATATGGCCCCTAGCTGCTCTTCAGGTCTGGAATTGAACCCACTCCTGTGGCTTTCAGCCAAACAAAAGACAAGCATATGAGCTGAACATATAAATTAGGTAGATATACTCCTTGGAAAGAACAGTCATGGAAGAATAGAAGGGCTGTGTATGCACAGGGAAACAGCTCAGGGGACAGGAGTACATGGAGGGAAGGACACAAGGAAGAGGTGACTATGGGGAGGAAGGGGGAGGGAAGCTGTTGCATTGTGGGAAATTGCAGTCAATGTCATGAGAAAAAGTGTATGTGAGCTGCTGTATGGAAAGTGAATTTGCTCTGTAAGCTTTCACCCAAATCACAATTTAAAAAAAAAGTCAATATTTAATTTCTCTGCTCCCAGATGTGTTATTGCTACTGGGGGGATGACATCATCCCCCTCATGCAGTTGTGAGGACAGTAACATCCAGCATCCATGTGGAGTGCCCACCGTTAGCAGGCCCTCAGGAGGATGCCTGGTACAAAAATGGGCCATGTGCCCAATGCACAGAAAGAATTCCATGGTTTAATAAACAACTTGAAAAGGATTGATTAGAGGGAAATTTGTGTCCCCAGGTCCATATGCATGTTATCTCACTGCCAACAAGTCAGTTCTGACTCACAGTGACCTCTCCTTGGGTTCCTGAGGTGGTAGCTCTACGGAAGTAGATTGCCCGGTCTTCCTTCTGAGGAGTGCCTGGTGGGTTTGAACCACCAGCCTTCTGGTTCACAATCGAATGCCTTAGGCACTGCACTACCAGAGCTCCTTATACTCCTTATGGCATCCTTAGGTCACCTGTGTTGATTTACAAGGTGAGCGAATGGAAGCACAGAGAGGGAGGCGGCTTCCTGTGGTCGCCCAGCAAAGCAGTACTGGGCCTAGACCATGGCTCCCCTGTCCAGGGCACCAGTCCCCAGCCCTCCTCTCCAGCAGCCCCCATGGGTAGTTTCAGGTGAGGGAAGCAGCCTCAGCTGCAGGGGTTGCTCCAGCAAGGAGTTTGGCATCCCTGTGATGGCCGCCATTTTGTCCCCAAAGATTAAGCTGTCCCTGAGGCAGGACTCTGCTGAGAGACTGGCATGATAGCTGTTCTCTACTCACTCTGTGGTGGTCTTTTTTCCTCTCTCCCCCAAAGGCAAAAGACACACCTGGTCGAGTTCCCGATGCTGATGGGGCCTTCACATTGACCTGAGCCTTTCTGGGTAGAGGCATGTTTGGTGCACCGAGCAGACTTTCCTGTAGAAGATTTTGAGAGAAAAAAAGCTTGGACCCAGACCCTCACGGCCTCCACAGCTCCTTCCCGACCAGTCCTTGCCCCTTCAACCGACCACCCTGTCGATGGTGACCTCTGAGTCAACAAACCAGTGTTTGGGGGGCTGAGTCTGCTTCTGCCTACCCAGTGCCTTTCTCTCCTGGGGAGCCCTTCTCTACCACCACTTCCACCACCACCCCCATTCAGCCCCTGACCTTTATTTATTGTCCTTCACCTCCCCCATCTCCAGTCCACCCTGTGTTTGTTTAAAGCTTGCTCATGTCTTGGGTTGGGCCAGCAAAGGCCTTAAGACCCTTTTTGGGAGCCCTTCCCTATGCACTGCAGTTTCAGAAGGGAGCCAGGCTGAAGCTTTCTCCACATACATATTAATGCCAGTAAGGAAAATAACCCTGACCAATTATCTTTCAAAAGTGAGTGTGAATCCAAGAGGTGCGTGTTAGAGCCAAAAGTAGGTGGGATGAGAGATTTGCCTGCATTTCCCCTCTTCAGCTCTGGGAGGTGGAAGCAGTGTCCTCCTTTCTCGTGGGGCTGACAGGGGGCTGCTGTTGGAATGTGGCCTTGGCTAGGTTTCTTTGAAGTCCATCCTCCATTGGTTTTGATCAGCTTCCCTTCAGCTAACAGAGCTGGGAACTATTCTGAAGAATTCCTCACATTCAGTCCCTGAAGAGCAGCTTTCGACTGAGTCCCCGCCACGATACGTGGCTCCCCTAAGCTATTAATTTAATTCTCTTCAGTAGAT